TACGTAGGCATTGGGATAGGGGCCGAACGAGCACAACTTTTATTTTTTCCCTACATTTGTTTTCTCCTTTCTTTTGCATGCATTCCCTATAGATTTTACACACCCAATATATTAGACAACAAGAGCGGATACCGTAGAGTACTACGGGCGTGTGGGGTGATAATACGTTTCCCTCGCGTAACAGACTCCCTTACCCAATCTCTCGGTCGCAAGACTGTGATTTCTCCCTATTCAGGTTTTCTCAATGTTTACATTTCCCTCTCGGCAGGATAAAATACGTTCGGTGGCGACTTCATTGATTGTATTATCAGATGACGGTTTGGCCGATTGTTTCAGTATGGTGCCATAGAAACAGGTCTGGTACCAGGTACAAGATCAATAGCAAATTCAACTTCCCTCTCTGGCGGTACATCAGGAATTTCATCAGAGAAAACTTCAGGAAATTCATGCACCAGCTACAATTCCTCAATTATAGCTTGATTCTTGACAGATAGCGACGCCATCAACGAGAACATCTGAGCCTCTTCTTGCATCAACTTCCTCAACTGTCCAATAGAAAACAGGCCATCTTCCTCTTCCTCGGGGGTAGAAAACCTCACAGACTTGTTATAACAATTAATATGAACATAGTTATGCTCTAACCAGCTCATATCCAGAATCACATTCAACCCTCTTAAAGGCAAACAAACCAAATCAACAGCAAATTCTCTATCAAAAATCGACAAAGGACACTTTAAACACATAAAAGAAGTAGTCACCGACCCCTTGGCTAGAGTGTCAATGACCATCTCTCCATTCATAGAAGATAACATAAGACCCAATCTTTCAACACAATCAGCAGCAATAAAGCAATGAGTAGCACCAGTATCAATAATAGTAATTAAAGGAGTACTATTAATGAAACATGTACCTTTTATGAGTTTGTCCTCAACAGCTTCCTGATCCTCAACCAAAGCGAACACTTTACCACTGGTTTGCGCCTTCTTTGGTTTCTAACACTGGCTACCAATGTGTCCTCCTTCACCATAATTGAAACAAATCACCTACTTATGCTTACACTCAGACACAAGATATCCAGTCTTACCACAACAGAAACACCTCTTCACCTCAGCAGCATACACATTACTCTTATGCCTAGGCTTTCCATATTTAAAACAAACCACACCAGCAGGAGCATCTCCCCCATTAGTCCTCTGACCCTAAGTAACTTTCTGTTTACCTTTACCAGCTGGGGCATCATAAGGCTTACCACGATTCTGTTGGTGGTTACCCCTCTTCTCACTGATAATCTTGTAATGAGCATTATTATCCTCTTCATAAATTGTGCAACCATCAATCAAATCAACAAAGACACATATCTTTTGGTATCCAACTGCCTTCTTGATCTATGGGCGCAACCCTTTCTCAAACTTGATGCACTTTGAAAACTCCGCATTTGCCTCACTATAGTGCGGATAAAACTTAGCCAACTCAGCAAACTTTACATCATACTCCTCAACCGACATACTCCCTTGCTTCAGCTCAAGAAACTCAATTTCCTTCTTACCACGAACGTCTTCAGGGAAATACTTCCTCAGAAATTCTCTACAAAATGCAGCTCCAGTGACATTTTCACCTGCAGCTTCCAACCTCTGACACGTTTCTAGCCACCAGTCATCATCCTTGACTGCTAGCATATGAGTACCATACTGAACCTTCTGCACTGGAGTGCAGTCCATCACACGGAATATTCTCTCAATCTCTTTCAACCAATCCAACGCTCCGTCGGGATCATACTTTTCCTTGAATGTAGGCGGATTCTCCCTCTGGAAAGTCGCCAAACTACGAGATCCAGCATTCTCGTCAATATTCGGCTGATTCTCCATAGCATGCGCCATTGCTTCTAAAGCAGCAGCAAGTGCAGCATCATTCCTTCCTGCCATCTCAACTTATCACTACAACATAAACAACGATTAGAACTCAAATTAACAATACTCGATTATTAAGCAACCTATGACTCGGCAACTTGGTCGGACGGACTAACTTTGCTCTGATACCAACTTTGTAACACCCCAATTCTACCCGACAATACAAATGCAAATTAGACTTATAAAAATTATACAACTGAAATAACAAATACTAAAGCAACAAGTGTTCATCCCCCGAGTGTTACGTATCAGAGTAATGACACCGACTCGAACTATTGAAGGTCAACCGCCTTCAGTTTGGATTACTTGCACGTTACCAACATAAGGGTAAAATTCAAGCAAAAGGGGTGAGATATCGAACACTATAATAGAACGTATGATAAATATTATAATAGAATCAGTTCATGCAAAAATCACCACTTCACAACTTATAAATAACAACAATCACAACAAAATACAACAATTAATTCATCAATACAACAACTCAATCATACTACTTGAAATGCGACTCAATACTATGTGAATGCATGTGGTACCATTGGAGCAGAACTCCCATCGTAATAATTGCCAATTAATAGAGGCATCAATAAGGCATAAGCCTTCTTCGTAGTTTGCCAATCCAGGCCATCGCAGAGTATGCAAATGTATGTAACTCAATGAATGCACTATCACATATTCATAATAATCATCATCCATCGTAAGGCATAAGCCCACATCACAATTATTACCAGTAAATAGATGTAATTCATCATCATGTAAAACTCCCTGCAACTTCGCATTACCAACAAGAATTCACAACAACAATCACAACATCACAACAACTCAACATAAATCAACATTGGTCATAAGCCTATCTTATCAATCAACGATTAAATCATTAACATAATCAAACAATAACTTAACAATAATTTCACACAGCACTGGTAATGACCAAAACACAGCATGTACGGGCAAAAGGGATAGGGAACTACGTGCCCATCGACATGCACAACAACTAGGACAACATAACAATAATCCATACTCATAGACACGCACAGGGGAAAACAGGGTAACGACCAACCTATGCTCCTCGACACGTCCTGCAGCCTAATTCTGCTCGAAAATCCAACGCATCATTCCCCGACACGCCTCGCAGCCTAAAACGCCGCTCGGTACCTACTACTTCAGTATCCTCCCCGACCACTAATTCGGCCAACAACACAGTCACGATACAACGTCTTAACGACCACACTGCTATAATTCATAACTTCCGGCCAACCATTCGGAATAACACAGCAACGGGCAACTATATTCCTATCGATAGATTCATTCATTATACAAGACTGACTACAATAATAATTCCTAACTTCCTGCCAACTGCTCGAACCACTACAACATCGTAACGACCATACCATCATACTGACCACAACAACCTAACGACCGCAACAACAGGAAATAATCTACACTAACCTACTCATCGACTCTATCGGGCAGTCATGCAGACAACACAAAACATCCACAACATAACGGAACAGGCATCTTCCCTTAACAGGTTCAGCAACATCACGGGCAACAATCACAATTACGATCAATTCCCACATAATAAATATCATAAATCTCATTATAAGGTTAGAACCCCATCCTTACCTGGATTGAAGGCCGCTCAACCAAAGCTTCGGCCGTAATCCTTGATTCGCTCTGCTCGATACCGAGCAACTTGCTCCTCATCCGCGCAGCTCTACCGATCAGCGTACAGAAATCTTTATTCTCTAACTAAAACAAATCTTTGTGTTAGCTTCTCCTTATATAACAATCCTCTTGGGCCTAACCTACACCCCCACTTTACTACTTCTAACCAATAGCATAAGTCCAACATTATTTCATATATCCCCTTTCACATTATAATTATTATTAATAAACTAATTAATTAATTAATTAATAATAATCCAATAACTTATATCAATAATTCTCAACATCTCGCAACTTCGCAAATAATCCAAAAATAATTTAATTAATTAATTAAATTACAGGCGTTACAGGATACACGCGAGAAATTCATATACACAATTTAAAATTCAAATTACATTCACTTTTCTTCTCCACATACTGACTTGGACGTTTGAGTACTAACATTGCAGATTAACTCCTCTTCTTTACATCAGAAGCTCAAATCTATCGCTAACCTCAACAACCATCGACTCTTCGACCAATTCTATTTTTTTTGCAAAGAAACAAATAGATGGTGAGATATTTGTATCTAGTGGTCCATGATAATTTGGCAACCCTAATCTAGTGTACCTCTAGGATGAGTGAATCTTCTAAATTGTCTCTAAGAGCGATTTTGAATGCCCGAATTGTGTTGGATGTTGACATAGATCGAAACACCTATCAATTAAGAACCTAATAGAATCTAACTCAATTTAAATTGTTCTATCGAATTCATTTGTTAACAAATTCCTACTATTATTATTGTAACAAAAAAAAATCTACTATTGTCATATATCTATTTATTTAGAAAAATGCTTATGTAATACTCCAAACAAAAAGAATAAAAATAAAAAGAACGCGCTATTTTGCCTTAGGACATTCTAATGACAGCTGTTATCTTACATGTAGAGGGACTCTAAATCTTCACAATGTTTTTCCATGATATGTCAAACAAAATGTTTTTTTTTCTTGTCATCAAATTTGAGAAATAAAAGACTTTTAACAAATCTAATGTTCAGATGCACCAATCAACATCAACGTATATTTTGACAAATCCACCAAAAAAAATTACTGTAAAATAAGTGGTATATTCATTAATAAACAATGTACTAATTTCTTCAGTAATCAAATTAAATTATCATAATTACATGCATAGTATTTAGACACAGTATATTGAGTATGAACGATTTAGAAAATATAAATTCATGATATCACAAATTTTACATTTGTGGGCAATAAACAACCAACAAAGTTATCTTTTATCCCACGTTTCTTTCTCTACCAAAAACATCATTATTTTCTGTCTTCTTTTTCTCTCTTTCACTTTATAGATTCTTCTCAATTCAGTTGTTTAACCCTTTGAGTTTTTAAGGTTATATTGATATTTGAAAACTATTGGTACTCAAAATGGAAAATGTTTCAGTCATGTGTAAGGTAGAAGATGAGATGAATTTGCCACCTGGGTTTAGGTTTCATCCAACTGATGAAGAGCTTATAAGTCATTATCTTTATAGAAAGGTAACTGACATTAACTTTTCTTCAAGGGCCATTGGAGAGGTTGATTTGAACAAATCTGAGCCTTGGGATTTGCCTTGTAAGTTGTTAATTTTGTTTTTTTAGTTCAACTTTGGTGTTTTAATTTTATGATTTGATTCATACATCTGACGTCCCGTAATCATTACATGATTAGAAACACAGACGTTGACACCAATAATAATTCGAGAAAGTGATAAAAATTAAATGTAATATCACATGATCAGAAGTGTCATTGATTTGGTTAATTTTGTTGTAGGGAAAGCAAAAATGGGTGAAAAGGAGTGGTATTTTTTCTGTGTGAGAGATAGAAAGTATCCAACAGGTTTGAGGACTAATAGAGCAACTGAAGGTGGATATTGGAAGGCAACTGGAAAAGATAAGGAGATTGACAGAGGAAAATCTCTTATTGGAATGAAGAAAACTCTTGTTTTCTACAAAGGAAGAGCACCTAAAGGAGAGAAAACTAATTGGGTCATGCATGAATATAGACTTGAGGGTAAATTCTCTGTTATCAACCTCCCCAAAACTGCAAAGGTAAATTTTCTGTTCCAAAACTATATACTTTTTACTTTATCTCGATTTAAAGTATTGCAATCGTAATTTGAACCACCACGTAGGAGTAACATGATTGCAATTGAGGCAAACTATTAATGATCACAATGTGATCCTTATCAAATTTCTAAAAATCATATGTAACAAATCAGTATCCGAAGATGCTGATATTTACTGTTTTAATGCTAAGAAAAAAAATGTTACAAATGAAAATCCATTATCACCGTGAAATGATTAACTCACATCACAACGACTACAATCGCTAATATGATTTTTCATGTATCGGCCAAAATCGTGAAATTTTTTACAGAACTACGTTATTTAAAACCTTGACCCTTACTATAAGACTCTTAAGTAAAAGAAAGAAAATTTATATATAATTGTTTATTATGTATTAGTACTATTTTGTTATAAAAAGGTTGTCTAAAACGTGAAATACGACACCGTTCAACCAGACATGACATCAATACATGTGATTTCATTCTATTTAATTTATTTTATAAAATAATCATTAGAGTGATTGTGTCAGAATCGGTTCTTGTTGTACATGTTTTTCTTAGTTGCTAATTGGTTTTGGTCATTTTGTGGCAGAATGAGTGGGTGATTTGCAGGATATTTCAGAAAAGTCTATCAGACAAAAAGACATATACTCTTTCTTCTGGGGTAATGAGGTTAGAATCTCTTGGAAATGAAATGAGTTCTTCTATTCTTCCACCTTATTCCATTAACAAAACCAAACCACCTTACGTGTCCTGCTTCTCCAATCCAATTGAAACAAACCAAGTTGAAACCTTTGATTCCTTTACCAACACCCCTTTTGAGCTTCCTTCAAATCATACAATTCATCTTCCAAAAAACTCACTTTCCATTGGCTCATTTTACTCTACTCATGAACTTCAAGCTACACCAAATTTTCCATCACATATGGATCTATCTCCCTTGTGGAACTATTAAACTCAGATAAAAAAGAGTTACATAAGATATTTTGAACAATAGTGAAGCATGTATTTTTGTACTATATGAATTATTATTATTATTACGGTGATGTATTGTATTGGTTGATTGATACTTGAGGTTCAAGGTTGTTATGGTTTACATGAGAATTATTATTTTCGTATAAGTTTGGATTTGTATTAGAAAGTGATATGATTGGATTTTTTTTTGTGTGGATTCTATGACAACTATATAGAGAGTGACATTTTTATATATTCTGATTTGTAAATTATTGATTGTGGGGACTGAATCAAGTACGGTCAGCATTGAAAATCTCTCAAATTTTCTATGTATTTTTCTAAGTCTCTCTTGGTAACATGTGCATGTTCATTCTATGACATAGACATGAATTTAAACAAAATAAATAAAATATATTATCTGAATTTCCCTTGATACCTACGAATATCAGGATCCAGAAATTCCTCTTCCTTTTCTGTTTTGTTGATGTAAGCGTCATATATGAATAAGATAAGACAATATGTTTCGTTGTCCTTAACACATTAAATTCAACACAAGAGATCTTTGTATGAAAAATAACATCATTTTGCGTTAATGTGAATTGCTCAAACACGAGCTATATGTTGAATGAAGAAAAATCAAATGAGAAGAATGGTATGGTTGATTAAAGGGTGAAGAACATGATGGAACTTATTGTTTGCCGCACAAGTGAACTTTTCTACTTAATTCAAATCAATTATAAATAACTGAAAATTGATGTTGTTTGTATTTTAAGGATTCTAGCCATTTAACCCGTGTCAGTTATAATTTTAATTAATCAATATAATTCTCTCACTCAATTATGTTTTTTAACATGGTATCATGACCCTCTTGAGTTGAGAGTGTTTCTTTTCTCCTGGTGTCTAGAAACAATACTTCTATTTCTTTAAACATTGATTTGAATTTAGATCAATCAAATCAATTTTATGTATTTAGTGGGTGGTCTTTTAACTAATCAATACGCATCACTAACGTAGTTCCTAAATCCCCAATCACTTTACAAAATATACTTTTGTCGCTTTCTATATTCTCAGAGAGAAGTTAACCGAATATTGTTCCTATGCAAGAACAGTTCTAATGAAATCTAAAAGTGTATTCAGACCAATGTTTTAAAAACCGGACCAGAGATCAAACCGGCAAAATTTTCGTTCAAGGTTCATTTGGTCCAATTGATTAAACCTATGGTCGAACCGTTTATTAAATAAATTAACAATATAAAGTTAAATTTAATGGATAAGTCACATAATCATATGTTCACAAATTAATAAAATAAATATTTTAAAAATTTATTACAAACTTAATACTATAAGATCAATGATAAACATAATTACAGAATATAATGATACGCTTAAAGAAACAAAACTATAACATAGTGTTATAATTTAGAAATTTGTGTTACTCTTTTGTGTTAAAGAAAATTTTCTTTTTTCTGAAGAGAAAATGTTTTAAGTATTGATGTTAACATAATAATTATTTTCAATTTTCTTATAAAAAAATTAAAATTGATCAATGACGTGCATTTCTTTAAACTGAGCGGTTTTACAAAACAGTCTTCAGTTCTTTGGTTCGAACGATTTTGAGCGATTCAACCAGATTTTTGTTTGTTTTACTCCGGTTTTGACCCACCTGCGATTTTACAAGGTTGACCGGACTGGAGTCACCTCTGGTTCCAGTCCAATCGGGTGAATCAAACGGTTCGGTCCAATTTTTAAAACATTGATTCAGACATTGTTGGTCAAGTGACTCCAAACGCAAGAAGCGGTGAATTGTGTGGTTTGAAAAACCATTTTCGAATAAAAATATTTTGCAAAAATAGATTTTAAAAAACTTTTGCAAACGAAACAGAGTAAAGCGGCAGAGATAAGAAAATAGAAATGCAGCAGAAATAAATAACTAGAAAGTAAAGAGTTAAGTCATCAAAGAAAAACATCAAAGAATTATAAAGGTTCAAAGTTTTAACTTTCGAACTAATTGCAGAGTTTTAACTACGACGACCTCCATAATCAAATGAGAGCTTTTAACAACATGATAAGCTCACGAACTGATTGATATTTTTAATAACAGTGACCTCTCCAACCAAAAAAGGTTTTAATTGATTTACATCAACAACCAAACAAGAGCTTTTCACTTTGTTTAGCTACCAACCAAAACAAAATTTCTCTCAGTGGAAATTTACAAATATGCCCTTACACCATACTAGAACACCTCACAAATATAAAGATTTCAATCTCGTGTGTGTGTGTGTAAGAGAGAGAGAGAGAGAGAGAGAGAGAGAGAGAGAGAGAGAGAGAGAGAGAGAGAGAGAGAGAGAGAGAGAGAGAGAGAGAGAGAGAGAGAGAGAGAGAGAGAGAGAGAGAGAGAGAGAGAGAGAGAGAGAGAGAGAGAGAGAGAGAGAGAGAGGAGAGAGAGAGAGAGAGATCAAATATGTTTTTTAGTGTGTTAGAAATGAGAGAAAAAAAACCATATATTTTATGATAAAAGGTGACTCAAATGTGAAAAAATCCATGGATTTTTTAAGGCTCCTAATTGATTATGCACATTCCATAATTGATTGTGAAGTACAAAAACGGAAGATTTTCAAAAGAGTCATTACCTACTTAATCGACTATTAACCCTAATAGTTGATTATGAGGTGTTACAAAAGGTACTATCAATTATGCTGAAGGGCTAATAGATTACACTGTGTAATTTTCTCATATAAATAATGTTTTAAACTTTGAGTCAATTAGTTAGGCACAAAAACATTTTTTAGTGATGTTTATAAAGAGAGAAATGACTTTGAAGGGTTAAATGTGTGTATATGTGTGTGTGTGTGTGTGTGTGTGTGTGTGAGAGAGAGAGAGAGAGAGAGAGAGAGAGAGAGAGAGAGAGAGAGAGAGAGAGAGAGAGATTTGCCTTAATAAAGTCAAGAGTTAGTCTTGTACATTTACAAACATTGATCACTTGACACAAACTCGACGAGCTTTCACATTTCCTCTCTTTCACAACTCTAAAGATTTTGGTTCCATTGCCACAATATCTTTGACTTTAGTACTCCATTAGAACCTTGAATCTTCTTCTTATGAGACTTCAGATAAATCTTTAATAAGGATACCATTATCAAACACACTGCTTGATCAGAGATCTTTGATAATTTTATCGAACGCCGCTTGACATAAGGTGTTGTCTTCCACAACTAGGCTTTGATACCTTGACCTCCAAGCACCATACTTTGATCACAATTTAATTACCATAACAAAAAAGCTTTTATATCTTGATCACCATAGCTTGATCATCTCAACAAATGAAACTTTGATCTTCAAGCACCACCATTTGATCTTATCATATGCTAGCATCACTTGTCATCATTTGAACCAACAAGCTTTGAATAACATGACTGATAAAGACTTCTCTCAAGAGTGATGTCAATATTAAAACCAAGCACATCGTTGTGGAAAACATGTAACACCCTAAATATTATATTTATTATTTAATTGTGTTGTTGCAATTTATGTGGTTTAATCGATGGTTTGATGGCATGTTGTGAGGTAGAGTTGGGTTGAATAAGATAATTAGAATTATTGATAATTAAAATTATTTGGATTTATTTTAATAATTAAATAAAAAGGATATGAGGTGTAGAGATGATAAGAGCATTATGATAATGTTGAGTAGAGTAAGTATGGATAAGATGGGAATACCATATTAGTGGTCCAAAGGGGTAAAGAGGTTGGAGAGTGAATCATATCTTGGTAACGACCGAACTATGAGAGAAGTTGACATCTAGAAGTGAGAAGAGTTAGGGAAATGAAAGCCATTGTTGCATTTGAGGAGCTGTCAATCCAAGGTAAGGGTGAGGTTCTGACTATCTAAGGGATTGTGTAATGATAATTATGTGGGGGGTTAATTTGTGTAGCCTTATTGATAGGGATTTTAGGTTTGTTTGGGTTTTTGTAAATGAATTGATAATATGGTGATTTGTGTTGAAATTGTGTTTTATGATGTATAAAATGCTATAATTTGATACCCATAACATTTGTGATGATGTGTTGTTGTTATGGTGTGATTAAATGCTAAATTTTATGAAATTGTGACTATACTACGTTAGAATCGTAAGGAATTAGGACTGGAGATGATGCAGAAATCACAACAGAGGGTTATTGTTTCGCATGCGTCGCCAGGCAAGCCAGCCGCGAGCGAGCAGGCGAGCTAGTCGCCTCTGCTTCATCAGGTGAGCCAAGTGGCGAGCGTCGGGGATGAAAAATAAGGTTCTTGGAAAATGTATTGGAGAAGATCTCTTTACCCATCATCTTCGTACGAGGGATATGCGAAGGGACTGCTTCGTTGGGCAAGCCTAAGGCGAGCAGTCTGGGCAGAATCATATTTTTGAAACTTTGAAAATTCATAACTTTTGACTCGGGTGTCTGTCTGACGCACTGTTTGAACCTACGGAAAGCTAAAATTATTTGCTATCTTATAAAAATACTTCCAAGCCCATTAGGTATTTTTTATTGGGGACTTATACCTTTCTGTATGTAATTTTTTTGTGTTGCTGAGGTATATGCATGTTCTTATATATGATAATGTTGTGTGATGTTGTCTGGACTATATGATTGGTACGTCGTATGTGTGAGCAGATGGTGGCTGTATTGGTGTGTCATATTGATAGGTGTAGATTATCAATGTGTGTTGGTTTGTTGCATGGTTGTGTCACATGCATTTCCTATTGTGGACTTCGGTCCTATTTTATTGGCTCTGATCCTAGATGGAAGGGATCGGGAATGATGTTGTTGGCTCTGATCCTAGATGGCGTGAATCAGAAGCAAGATGAACCAAATTGTTCATGATATTGGTGGCTCTGGTCCTAGATGATGTGGATTCATGAGCAATATTGGCACCACGTGCATTGAGTCTGTGAGTCGGTCTCATTGCATTGTACTATCATTAATATGATGTTTGAGTTGTGTGTTTGGTGTATGTATTGT